TGACAGCTTCCACCCAGGGCAAACCAGTTGCTGTCTGCAGCTCTCCATGCTTTCCCCAAGGACTACATTTCCATAAAAGATGAAAAGAACCTGCCTGACAGGCTGTCCCGGCCATTTTCCACAGCGTGGCACCCTTCCCAAGGCTGGGTCGTGTGTCCTACATCTGAAGGCTGGGGTAGCAAATGGGGTCAGCAAACCTGCATTTGGCCCTGCTGTGCATGTCTGGAAGTGGGAAGAACTGAGAGGACAGATCCTCTAATCATTTGCTCAGCCTATAACTACTTCAGAGGCCCTACACTAGAATTACAAGTTTTTCAGGAGCAGAAAATGTCAGGTGAGGTGATGAGATCATGAGTTACTCAAGGTGGCATTAAACGCGGGTAGGCACAGATCTCACCCACAGGACTTGAGGCAAGAACCTACAGGCTGGGGAGGGGGAAAAGAGGGGACAAACTTGTCCTCCGACGGGAACAGGGCTGCTCTGCACATCCTGAGAGGTTTCTGTGCTGGTGCTATGATTGGTATTGCTATGGGAAGTACCAACAGGCAGCTATGATCTTCACTGATTTTAAGTAGGACCAAGCTGCCATTATATCCTTTAACTAGCTTTGGTAGTTTTCATTTTAATTGTATATTGATGCATTTAAAAATGAATGTCTCAGCAGGCCTTTGATTCCTATGAGTCTCTCCAGCTAAAGCCTGCTTAAGGTTTCTGGTCGGTCCCTCCTCCCAGTCTAGGGAATATGCTGACCTTTCTCCTGGCTGGCTGATGGAAACGCCTCAAATGCCTTTTTATCCTGCAGTTGCAGCTGGCCGAAGGACCAGAGTGGGGGGTAAGCAAGGGAGGCAAAGGAGGACTTTGGTTATTGCGGGGAAGTTTGCTCTGTGGTTGATATGAAAGATACCACCAGGTTGCCAGGAAACTATTCTTTGATATACTGCATGTTCCCATCCCTCCCTCTATCTGACAGGCCTGGAGAGGGGTTGGTAGTTGTGCTCAGGAGCCTCGGGCAGCATGATCTGTGAGTTCATTGCTGCATACGGCAGTATGCAGGAGCACCACTGAAACTCGGCCGTGCGGCTTATCTGCGGTCCCGATACACGATATAAAAGCAGCCTCCCAAAACAGCCAGACTTCAAGCTCCTTCTGCAGTGGGCTTTTTGGCAGCTGGCTCCCAGCTTCTCCCAGCAGTTACCGAGTGCCATCTGTTGACTAAATAGCGGTCATGCAAAAAATGGAGAGACGCCAAGATGAGGATAGGTGAAGTGCACTTGGGAAAAGTGGCAGCATGGGACTGAGTGGCTTTGGAGGAGTTTCACAGAGTGCAAAAGGAAAAGGAAGGAAGGTTTCAAGCCAAGGCGGTTCCTGCTGGTGGAAAGGCTGATGAAGGGATGCCAGGAATGCTTCTCGGAGCAGTCAGGTTTGGGTTTATTGAGGGATCAGATTCTTTCCTTCAGCCTTTGTGTAAGGCAGAGAGACGGAGAAGAAACATTTGGTCTTGCTGTCAAAACGTGGGGCAATACTTTCTGCAAGCTGCTGAATGCTGTTCTGGAGCGGGGAGATCGTAGACTCCTGTCAGAGATGGTTCTTTGTGCTGAAACTGGTCAGGGAGAGGTTTTGCAGTGCACCGCTAGAGAAAGGGACTATTTCACTGTCACAAGCACAAAATGGACACATCATTGCTCTGATTTCCTTCCTTTGCCCCAGAAAAATCTCCAGCAAACTTTGCCCTGAGTGGAGAGCAGGGGCTCCAAGTAGGCAGCTGGAGGCTGTGCTTAAGAGAGGTCAGCCGAGCCTCTGTGTAGCTCAGCCTCAGCAGGGCAACGCTGCAAAAATCCCCTTATATCCTCTTGATTCCTCCAGCTTTCAGGCTTTCCTGAAGCTGAGCTGCTGTCCACTCCAGGGACTGCTCCTTCAGGGGCTGCCAATAGATAGCAAGAGCTGATACATCCCCTTTCTGTGAAGCGGAAACCGCAGAGCCAACCTGGCGTATCTACGCTGGGTACGCCCCATGGCTTCTGCACTGAGTAGGCTTCAGAGATGGCACAAGCCAGTCCACAGCAGCCAGAGCACAATAAAGAGCCCAGAATCAGGCCACCCTGCCTATTAAAGGTCTTCTGGTGATTTTAGAAGAATAAAGGGATTAACTCTGGGGGTGGTGGACAAATCCCTGGGTGAGTAATTAACCTGGTTTCTCCAAACGTCCTTCCTGTCGCACATGGATGTAACATACACTCACTGTCTGAAGTACTCTGTCAAGTTGCTGCACGCTGGAAAATAGCTGCCACCAACTGCCTGAGAGAGCAGTATTGATGTGCTTCAGCCACCGAGGTGGGGGTGCTCGTGTGAACAGGATTCAGTGTGTCCTGAGGTCCTGCAGGACCCCCAAAGTGTCATGCAGCCAACATGCCCTTCTCACTGGAGCAGGAGACTGGGGACTGTCTTGGCTCCTCTCCTTCCCAAGTGGCAGACCTCTGGGTATTGGTGCTCCCTGGTGCCAGGACGATGGTCCTGGAGGGCCCTTAACCCTGAGGCAGGCACGGAGCCCATGGGAAGGCAGTGCTAATCTCGGGAATGACACTGCACTTAAGAGCAAATCAGAGTTTTTGACAGTTCAGAGCAAGCCCTCAAGTTGAGGACAGCCTTAGTGTTATTGCAACCCTTTCTGGCCATGACAGCAGGTATAAGCAAACATATGTGCATGTATATAACCCCATAAATCTCAGCATATTTATAAGATTCTGCTTTCTACATCCTGTGAGAGTCCCAAGAGCACAAACAGGTCCCCAGACCAACCTGTTCTGCCCCACTGCTCAAGCTGCAGATGCTGCTCCCTTGACTGGGCCCTCTTTCCCCTGGGTTTCTGTGTCCGCAGCATAAACCGAGCATTCATCTTCTCATCAGTCTCAGATGACGATGCAGAAGTAGATGCTTGTCATTTATGCCACTCAGACATGGCAAAGGACAGCTGAGAAATGTCAGCTGTTTGTGTTGAGGGCAGTGGAGTAGCCAACGCTGCCCTGGAGGGAACTGCAGCTCTCCAGAGACATTAGCAAAGGCAAAGGTATTTTGGAGCTCTTCATGCCTGCTCATGGCATCGCTCATTGCTGGAGGAGCTTGGCCACACCATTAATAACAGCAGAGACCTAGGATGCCACGGCTATGAGGTCTGTAGAAACTCCTCCGATGATCTTAGAGGTCTTTTCCAACCTTAATGATGCTATGATTCTATGATTCCTTGCGAGCACTTAGCTTAAGCCTTGACAACTTGGGCATGACGTGGTCCCTTAGCTACTGTGATCCATGGGTAGCACAATGGACCCCACTGCACATGGTGTTTACCCTGCACTGTGCAAAGAACCTGGGATAATGGTGTGGGTCTCTGTGTTAACCTGGTCCCAGGTGTTAGCAGCATGTGTAGACTCCTCGAGCCCGGAACATGGCCACCATACAAACAGGATGTTGCACCGCCACTGGAAAAAAGTGCTCCCATGAACACTGACTCTCTGACTCAGCCCAGCAGCATCTGCTAGGGCTGACCTTGTCCCTCCGGCCACTAGCCCAACCAAAAATGGGCCATCACTCCACCCTCACAAGGGACTGTGCCGGCTTGGAAACCCAAGGCAGCAAGCACCATCCTCCCATCTCCCCTGTGTTTCCAGGGCAAGGAAAAGCCCCGCATGGCTCTGCACCTCCTGCACAGGCTTGTCCATCACAAACCTCTTGCCAAGCACTTGGGCTCTAGCAAATCTCTTTTGCCTTTTTCCCAATTTTCCATCCACAGCAGAGTCTTCATTTTCTTCGTCAAGCCTGAATCCAGAGGCACTGCCTGGGAAATGGTTTAAATTTCCTTTCATCATTTGAGTAGCTACTAATTAATATGGGTCAGTCTTTCCCTCTAAGCGCTTTTACTAAGCCATGCTTCCAGCTCCTTTAGTGCCTTAGCCCTGATCTCGAATACCTAGAGTTATATGCAGAGGAGGGGCCAAATTCAGAGTTCTTCAAAGTCTTTTGAAGACTTCCCTTGAACCATGCTGGATTTTGGGTTGAACTTCTTGGGTTTTGTGAACAGTTGACCTGCTCAAAGGTCTTGGAGGTGATAGGTGCCAGCAGCGGACCTGCTCCTTTTTTAATGCTACAACGTACAAACATAGCAGGGCCCTCATTAAGGTTGGGGTGTGCATCAGTCCTTGGGCAACAAAATATTCCCCTATGTGTGTCCATCTCCTGTTCGCCTCTTGCTCGATCTGGGTCCCTCAGAGGTTGAGGGAAAGGGCAGCCAGTCTGCGTTGAGGGAGGACGTAGCACACAGCCGGGATGTGGTGCTGAGATAAGGGTTCGAGTGTGGCAACCTGACACCGCAGCAGATGAACGCTGCCCGTTTTCTCAAAGCCCCGCTGTTTGTGACTCTTCGGGGGGTCATTTTGCCAGCTTTCAGACGAGGACTTACTCGGGGGCCCTCTCCTTTGCCTATGTGCTTTCTGCTAGTCATGGTGCTGGCTGGTAATGCCCACCCCACAGCATCGCTTCTGCTCCCTCCCTGAAAGAAAGGCGCATTTTAAAAGTGGGGAAATCATTCCCGGAGAATACTGAAATTAAACAAAAAAGGCAAATCTGGCACTTGTTCTCCCACGAAGGCTCATGCACATACTCACACTGACAAGACATTCAGGACCCCAGATATTTTCCCGATCCCCCGCCAGGCGTGCAACTAGCCATGCATAACAAATAACACGACCCCATGAATGGCCACGAAGTGAAGTCAAGCTGTTTGCCTGATCCATTTTTCATTGTTTGCCTGGCTTTTCCCACTTTGAACCAGAGCTTGTGGCATCAGGAAGTTAAAAGGAGTCAGGAGGGGGGAAAAGGGGGAGTGTTTCTTTTAAAAAGAGAGTGAGATTGGAGAGGAGGACACAGGCACTCAAAACCCTGTCTGTGCTTGGTATATTAGGCAGCCAGTGCTCTTGGCTGGGAGCCCAGACAAGGCTTTTGTAATCAAAACATGATCTTGTATGCTGTGCAACCAGTGCTGAGAAAGGCCGTCTGATGGCTCTCCTCTTTTAGCTCTGCTCTGGAATCCGCTGGGCTTTGCCGCCGATGTCCAACATGCACCGAGCTGTGAGTGCTGCCTTTGTGGGGCCTGGGAGGGGCACGGGGCGGTGGGGTCCCTCACCCAAAAAGGCCACGAAACGACTTGCACTTGCTTCCTTCAGGGTGGCCTTTCAGAGGTTGTTGCTTTGTTGTTTTTTTTCCTCGCCTGGCTGCCAGCAGGCACCG